GAGGACCCCGCCCACCAGACATCCCGCGCGCCCGGAAAAACCCGAGGGGGACTCTCATCCCCCCCCGCCGCCCCGCCCTCCCGTCCCCCCACTCCTACTCGCCGCTGGCTAACCGTGACGGCTGGCACCGGCAAACGACGACCGACAACGAGCAACGACGCGCGACGACAGCCCACGACGACTGACGCCCGCCGCCGACCGACGCCGACGCCGACGCCGAGGCCGACGTCGGTGACGACGACGCGTGCGGGCGGATCCTAATGGGCGGGTCGGGTCGGTCGGGCGGACCCACGCGGGCGTCTCGGGTTGGGCGGGCGAAGAATTGAAAATAGGGTGCATAATCCAGTTGGCACGCGAGAGACCGCACGGGTGGGTCGGGTCGGGTGGGCGGGCAACTGAAGCGTGGCGCATGATGGAGATGACACGCGGGAGCCCGTCGTCGTTTGCCGTCGCTGTCACTGTTTACCTGGCGCCAGCGCCCGCCGCCGCCGTTTGCCGGCGCCGAGTTAGGGGTATGGGGTAGGAGCGTCGTCGTCGTCGCTCGCCGTCGCTATCGTTCGCCGTCGCCGTCGCCATCATCGCTTGCCGGCGGCGCGGTAGAAGGGGAGGGGAGGGTGGGGGTTCGAACCCCCCCTCCCCTTAAGCGGCCACAGTAAGCGCTCTTTCAGGTACTGCCCTCGGTAGATATTCAAACAGATAGAAAGCGAATCCGATCCGACGCCAATCGCAAACGGAGAACTGCACCCATGCCCCAAAAATCTCCGATCACCCAAAGTTTGGTCTTTATTCGGAGCGTCTCTTCTGTTCGCACAATGGATGACATTCCTAGTACCACGCAAGGCGCCTTGTTTAACTTCATCGTGAAAACACTCAAGGACAGAAATGCGACCGAGCTCCAACCCGCTCTGATGTTCCCTCTCCGCGCGGCCAGGCAGAGCGAGACACGAGCGAGGAGGGGAAGGTAGAGCGAGAGACGCAAAGAGGGAACGAGAGGGGCGATGGGGAAGCATGGAGGGATGATACTGAACATAAGAGCAAAAGCTCCCAAGGTGAAGCCTTGTACTGGATGCTGTCAGCCTGATTTGCTTCGCTGGCTGCCCGTGCTCCTCTCTGCACCCGAGCTGGCTCTCTGTGGTGCTGCAGTCGCGATAGCAATGACGCGTGCATGTCACATGTCCTGTGTCCGCTATCGCCATCACGACTTTGGAGTCCCGAAAAGGTGCGGTGACAGACCGTGCGGTGACCTCGAAATCCCCCAAGACCTCACCGCACGGTCCGTCACCGCACGGTCTTGGGACACCAGAGGCCCCTGTCGCCCGAGACATCCTCGGAGAACGGCCCGAGTCCCAAAACCGTGCGGTGACCCCGAATCCCCACCGACTCACCGCACGGTGCCGCACGGTGTGGTCACCGCCCCGTTTGGGGGCCCCCGAACGACGGAAAGGGGGAGAACATATCGATATAGGAATTGGCCCGACTGCCGGGACAACACTGACTACCAGACGCTACTAGACCCTAGGCGCACCACCTTTGTAGTTGGAGTACCTACAGGAGGGGGTGTGGCCGGGGCTGCAAAAAATGGTCAAGGCTGACGCATGCTGGAAACGGCGAAGACATAGTGGCCACGGCTGGAAGAACGTGAAGGAAACTACCCCGGGCTGGACAGCAAACATCTGATTGGACGGCTCCAGCCCAATTTTTTCAAGCCTCCCCGTAATCCCCCTTGCTCTGCACGCGGCGGGCGAACGGGTCACTCCACCTTCTGGCGCTTGGACGACCCCTGCCCGCTGCCAACGCGGAGGCTCAGCATGGCGGCCTTGAAGTCGGCAACCGCCTTCTTGACGTCGTCGTCGTCGACCTGGCAGTGGAGGGTGACTCGGATCTTCCCCGTCCCCGGGAGTGCAATCACGCAGGTCCCCCTCGCCTTCAGGTCTGCGACCAGGTCGCTGGCCGCGATGCCCTCTGCCACCACCTTCACGAGGACCATGTTGGAGGCTGGCGCTGCGACCTCGAGGCCTTCGACCGAAGCCAGGCCGCTCGCTACCTCGCGGGCCCTCCTGTGGTCCTCCTTCAGCCTGGACGGCTGCGACATCTTCTCCAGGGACAGCAGGCCGCAGGCCGCGAGGACGCCAGACTGGCGCATGCCGCCCCCGAGCGCCTTGCGCATGCGGCGCGCCTTCGCGACGAACTCGGCCCCGCCGATGACCAACGATCCAGCCGGCGACGCAAGCCCCTTGGACAAGCACACGGAGACGCTGTCCACGTCGCGCACCATCCGCGCTGGGTCCACGTCGAGCGCGGCGCAGGCGTTGAAGATCCGTGCGCCGTCCACGTGCAGCGACAGGCCTCGCCTCCTGCAGAGCGCCGCCACGGAGTCGATGTAGTCGAGTGGCAGGACCTGGCCCCCACACTGATTCTGCGTCTGCTCCAACGCGACCAGCCGCGTCGTTGGGAAGTGGTCGTTCACCATCCGGATCGCCCCCTCGATCTCATCGAGGGACATGGTCCCGTCCGGCAGCGTTGGGATGGCTCGAGGATGGATGCCACCCAGTGCGGCAGAGCCACCGACTTCCCAGAGGTAGATGTGGTTCTGGCTGCCCACGATCACCTCCGACATCCTGGAGTCGCAGTGCACCAGGAGACAGCACAAGTTCGCCATGGTCCCGGTCGGAACGTACAGGGCGGCCTGCTTACCAAACATCGACGCACCCAAAGCCTCCAGCTTCTTCACCGTTGGGTCCTCGCCGAAAACGTCGTCGCCCACTTCGGCCGCGGCCATGGCCGCTCTCATCTCGGGTGTGGGGTGCGTCACGGTGTCGGACCTCATGTCCACGATCTTGGAGGCGCCTGCATCTCCAGCTGCCGGCAGCGCCACCATGGCCCTGGGAGCACCGAGGCAGGAAACACTGCTGGAGGCTGGGGGCGGCCTGGGCCAGAGGCCTCCGGACGGCGCGCGCACCACACACGGGCACAGGCGTAGGCACTCACACGCACACGCACCCGTAGACACGGAAGAAGTAGGGAATCGAACCCTATACACCGACGCTTTTTCCGGCCCTGCATGGAAATTTGCACTGGCGAGCGGATCCTGGTGTAGACGGGACCCTGGTGTATACGTTTTTGTTGTTGTTTCCCCGGGACATCGGGGAAAAAAGTATACACCACACCACCCCAGCGTCGCCCCCTACCCTCAAAAAGTCGTGGGATTGAGAAACAGCCCGCCACTGGTAATGTAGATGTTCCAGTTTCCGAAGAAGAACACATACAGGTACTGTGAGCTGTTTACTCTTTGGTGTTGCCTTTTCTCCCTGGTCCCGAGGAGGGCCCCGATGTGATTTGCCCGCCTGACCCTGACGAAGTCTTAGAAGGTCTTCGTTTTCTACGCTCCCTGGAGCGAGGAAGCGGACAAGCGTTTCCTGGTCTCTCCCGACTTCGCCTCTTGGAAACGCCGCAAGAAGACAGATCCTGAATCTCACACATTCGTCGGTGATTTCGATAAGGATCTCCGGGATGAGGCCAACGTGACCTCAGCTCCCAGTCCAGCTCCGAGGCCCGACGAGCTGGACCACATAGAGGCGGATGACGAGCAAGCCCCTCTTGATATGCAGAGCGGGGATGGTTCGGCTCTTCTGGCCAGCCCCGCTCACTCCCCTCTCCCCGCCCCCCTCGACCCGTCATCGACATGGTTGGTCCCTCCTCCTCCTCCTCCTCCTCCTCCTCCCTCCTCCTCTCCTCCTCCTCCCCCTCCTCCCCCTCCTCCCCCTCCTCCCCTCCTCCCCCTCCTCCTCCTCCTCCTCCTCCCTCCTCCTCCTCCTCCTCCTCCTCCTCCTCTCCTCCTCCTCCTCCTCCTCCTCCTCCCTCCTCCCCCTCCTCCTTCCTCCTCCTCCTCCTCCTCCTCCTCCTCCTCCTCCTCCTCCTCCTCCTCCTCCTCCTCCTCCTCCTCCTCCTCCTCCTCCTCCTCCTCCTTCTCCTCCTCCTCCTCCTCCTCCTCCTCCTCCTCCTCCCCCTCCCGCCTTGACCGAGGACCAGCGCTCTCGGATCAAGGCTGACCGTGCCGCCGCCCGCCCGCGTCCGCAGGGAGGCACAGAGGTGCACGGAGCGCGCCGAGGAGCACGCCAGCCACGCGCCCCGGTCTGCCGGCCCAGGACTTCTGGGCTCCAGCTGCGAGGCCCCCGCGGGGGGGAGGGCCCCGGATCTATGTCTCTCTTCGGGGGCGGGCCACCCGCCTGGCCCCCGGTCCCCACTCCCATCGAGCACGCAGCCTGCGAAGCCGCGCGCCGCATCATCGACCTCCCCCCCACATCCCTGCGACGACGACGACTTTGACTTCGACTTTGACTTTGACGGCAACAAGGTGCCCCACACCCGTGGGGAGCCTTCCGCAGCACCGCGGGCGCGGGCGGGGCTGCACTGCGCAGCATGCCCTCCTCCTGGGGCCGTGCGCCGCGGCGCCCTGGGCCGCGCTCCCCTCGGTGCCGCGCTCCCGCCGTGGGCCCCTCCTCTCGCTGCAGGCCGACACTAGGGGGGCGCACTGGAGCGCTCCGATGGGCGCCGAGGGAACGCTGTGGAGGAGGAGGAGGAGGGAGGAGGGAGGAGGGAGGAGGGAGGAGGGAGGAGGAAGGAGGGAGGAGGGAGGAGGAAGGAGGGAGGAGGGAGGAGGGAAGAGGGAGGAGGGAAGGGAGGAGGGGGGAGGGAAGAGGGAGGGAGAATGGAGGGAACTGTAGGAGGGAAGGTGAGGGATTAGGAGGAGCTCGGCAACGGCAAGAAAGGTGCCACCACATAAACATGCATCAAACAAGCTCCAAACGAGTTAGGAGGGGTCAAGATCCTCCCCGGGCGGCGCAACCTGCTGGCGGCGCTCTTGCGCTCGAAGCCCGAGCGACTCCGCCTCTTCCCGAGAGCGGAACCCAAAAAGTGACAGGCCTCGCAGAAGGTCGACCCCAGTCCCCGGCCAAGCACACCCACCCCAGCCCGACATGGACGCAAGAGAGCCACTGGAC